CACAGTGCTTACGAGGTCGATCCGACGGACCGAGCCACGTTGAAAAGAGTTAAAACTGTTCACATTTTGTACACTAGATGGCTGCAGAGGACGGTCATGATCAAAACCAATAACTTTATATATGTGTACAACAATAATGACAGTTTAATAACTACATTCATTTTTCTCTTCAAAGTTTTCCTAATAACATATCTATGTAAGTTTTTCAGTTGATATCAATGATAATTAAGTGATGCCTTCTTACAACTGTGGCTTTAGTCTGTTGGTAATCTAATATATATTTCGGGAAGTTATTGAATAAAACCACTGCTATCAGTGATAATGATTCATTCATCAACTTTCTATCATCCTACTATAACGTAATCTATATATGTGGCTTTACAACATTCGATATTGGAAACGTTATAGGCATAGCTTTGGGTAAACCTTTTAATAAAGTGCGTCAGAACATGATGAAAGTCTTCCCCATCCTATGATGATAAGAATGTATTTTTTTATGATCCTGTTTTAACGTTAAGATACACCGCAGCACGTATGTGCTTTCTCCCCCAAAAGAAATCGATCCCCGCATTTCGCCATTGTAAGCTCGTAAATTTACCTCCGACCCACTTGGGGACAACTTTATGAGATGAACAGGTTTGTGAAGCAAATAAATAAACCATATAAACGAACTGAAAATTCCCGGGTCTGTTTTATGATAATAATTTACATATTTTACGTATAAGATTCATAACGTGGATTAATTAATGAGTTAATAAATCAATAGTTTCCTGCCACTTTAAATGTATGTAATTTATAAAGTTAGGAGCCTTCGTCGGAAAAGAAAGAAGACAAGATTTAGTAAGCTACTTTTACATCTTGTCATTAGAATATACACTTGTATCGAATATTTGTTTGTACAGTTTTCATAATTCAACTTTCACGAATATAAGCGACAAGATAAAACAAGAGGGAATCCTCAATAGCCGCGGCACTTGAATTTCTTTTAGGGAGGATCAGAGTAAATTAATCTACGAGACCTATTTTTCCTTTTTATTAGCTATATTTTTGTGCGCCAGCAATACCTAGCGTGGGGCGCGCATATACCACATTCGATTTTGTTACTCTACAGGATCTGTACCAGCCTATCCTCAAATTGAAATTCTTTTAGGCATTAATTAATCTACGAGACTTTGGGCGTGGTCAAATACGTCAATCGAATGGGTTTGACCTCCTGAGTCCAAACCTGTAATTAGATCTTAAATTGGTCAAGAGTTGACGGAGATAGGAGCTAAAACTTTTTATTGAAAAAAATAAAATAAAAACTCAGAGACGTTCTATAAGCCACTATGCCGCGGCTAAAAATACATAAAATAACTTAGGACGTAATATATAGACGCTATAAAAGTGATACTATGGAATGACTTTAGTAAAAATTTTGTACTAGTGTCGTTTCATACTCTGTTACCATTAGAGCAAATTAAAATATTAAAAGAGACGTCTAGCTGAGCATTAATGCTTAAAGCATATGAAAACTATAAATATCTTGTTCTACAATTCAATTGGAACTTTAAAACTTAGAATAAAGTTTTATGCATATTTTGTCAATAAACCTCAACAAACTACAGGACTTAACATAGGCTAGGTATGGAAGTTATATATGAATCATGAAAAATTTGCTTGGTAAAAAAAAAAAAAGAAGGAATTTCTGTATATTGCACACCCTAAGCCTAGTTTTCGTTTTTAATATAGTGGAACATAAATATAATTATATTTTATTGTGAAAAAAAAAAGCCGTCCAAATAAAACCTCTTTTCGTTCAGTATGGCTATCTTTAAAAGCCTTCTGCCGATATTTGTAATGTTTTAAAGAGGGTTAATCATACTTATAAGAACGATATATGTATGTCAATGCAGTGACGAGTCGAAAAAGCTGCGAGCCGTGGCGTGAAGACGATATTTATAGCTCCTATGTAGTTGGTTCAGAGTAAATTAACGACCATTCAACAGTATAATGCAGTTAGGGGCACCTAAAAGTTGGAGAATTCTCACAATGTTTTTCGAAAGAGAAATATTTATACAGCAAGATTGTTAAACGAAGTAGCCAAGGTACAAAGAATATGAATATTCTTTGTGGAAGCAGAAAATATTACACAGCACAAGAATGACGACATGAACGGGCTATGAATCTACACACTAAGCCTATCACGAGCAACGTTCTCAGCAGCACAGTGAAAGCTGTGATTACTGAGAAAGTATCTTCTGACTCCAATTAAAATCATTGCGATGAAACTGAACATAATTCTTGGTACCGTGAACAATATAGTACTCAAGGATTTGTAGTTTACTACAGTGTTGAAGATTCCAATCACACCTCGGCATTAATGTCAATTTTCTTGTGAAAAAAGGCTGAAGAAAGTGGAAATCACAGTAACTCCCATTCGTTTACAAATCCCTTAAGTCCCCAGACGCGGTTCACATTTACTTTTGTGTCTTTGACATGTTTAAACACGGTATTGGAAGCCGACGTCTGTGTTTTCATGAAAGATTTGGGGAAAATTTGTTAAAATGTGTGGTCTAAAATTGATCTTATCGTCCTATTGTTACAGTGGATATTGCGGTTTTAGGCTATAGTGCGTAATAATGGCCATCCGGCTCAAGTGTGTAATATTGTTCTTTTGAAGTAAGAGAAGGTGGTCTCATGTTTAGAAGAGGTTCAACAAAAATACTTGTCTGTCGAAATAAATTTAATTCTGGAATTATAATTATATGGAGTGAAAATTGTTTTTGTTACGGTCATCCTGTAAATATATTCAAGAACAAAAACAAGGGAAGCTTAGTAGGTGTTTTCAGATTCAACATTTCTCTTTATTTATTTTCTCTGGAAAAGGGTATGAGCAAGGTGGATAACGTGATGCATAGTGGCGCCATCTAGTTGATTAACTTTCTTAGTTTTGTGTTTTTGTTCTCTAAAGATAGATAAATTTCACAATGCAGATTATAATAAAGGACTTTTGCATTTTTCAAAACCTACATTAATAAATTTACATATATTTACAAATATTTATTTAGCCTATTTTTAAAATAAATAAATGTAGATATTTATTTTATAGTTCAAAATAGCGTTTGCAGCAGGATAGGAAGTGACCTCCATACTATTATGGTATGGATAGATACAACTTTGGCTGTAAGTGTCATTGTGCTATCAATTTTTTTCTTTTCTACTGTATTTAAGAAGCAGCCTTCTCCATCTTGATCATCTCCTGAATTCCATCTTGCATCTCCCGAACTGCTTTGTATTCGGAGAGTCCTAGACGTCGCTTGTTAGAAATATCGTAAACTCCACCCTCGCTCTCAGTGTGCTCACCACGGGTGCCTAAATTAAAAGGAGAATTTATTATTTAATTACTTTAAGAACATAGCTTCGTTAGACACGAAAATGAAACGAAAGGAAAATGTATCAACATTTCGTTGTAAAATACTGCTCGAAAATAAATACGAATTGCCGATAAAGTCTAATTGTCTCATTTACATGGTTCTGAAATTAAACAAGTTTTAAATAAAACAGTTTTATGAACAATTAGGTTTTACAGAACTTAAGTGTGTAATAAAAAAATGTCACTGAAAATAAACGCCGATAATAAAAATATCAACTTGTGGTTGAAATAACTTTTTCATTAGCGAATTTATCTTTATAGTTTTTTTTTTTTATATGACTGCCACATGTGAATTTCCTATAGGTTATTATATGTTTGTTTGTTGTTTAGCACAAAGCTACATAATGGGCTATCTATTCCGTGCCTACCACGGGTATCGAAACTCAGTTTTTATAAGCTTTCAGACTTACCGCTGAGCCACTGAGGGGATTCTATATAGGAAAAAAATATAAACAATTCTTCTTCTTCATTTGCATATATTTAAATTATATAAAATTACAAATTTTACAAATGCATTCGCTCATGTTTTTATGTAGAATTATCTAGAATTTTACAGCGTTTATGGATAAATTTTGTACTATTATGAATGAAGCAATGTTAAAATGTTCACGTGGATTCATTGTCTATCTAGAAACTTCCGGATGAGAAGTTTTCAGCATTCTGAAACGAACATAATCAAATATCTTACCCCGAACTTGTAAGTTGAATTTAGCTGCAATGTTCTCCAGAACCTTACGATCTTTAGCCAGTTTAGGTAGCTGGATGTGGACACTGGCTCTCATGGTGGTACCCAGGTTGGTTGGGCAGAAGGTCAGGAAACCAAAACGGTCATCGTGAGAAAACGGAAGCTTGGATTCAATAGTGTTCACAGCCTATGTGTGATGGAAAACAAAGTCTTATTATATGGTTTAATCAGTGTGGACATCCATTCAATGTGTAAAAAACAAAACAAAAACTTATTAATTAAGAATAATTATTAGAGGTAGAATAATGGGTTCCCAATTAAAAGGAATAGTTAATAAAACTGTACATTACCGCAGAAGAAATAAATTTAATGTATTGTCGAAGCAAAGAAAGTAATCTAATTTAAACTGTCGTTAAATATGATACAAGCTAAAACTGATTTTTTTTGAGCTTATGTTGAGTAAATTATTTCCCGCAAAACGATTGTCATTGACTAAAAATATGAATTTACTAAACTATAGGTTAAAATACCGTTATATGTTTTGTTTTTCCATTTATTTGTGGAATTTTGAGCAAAGCTACTCGAGGGCTATCTGTGCTAAACGTACATAATTGTGAAGCGATAGACCAGAGGGAAGGCAGCTAGTCTACACCACTCATCCCAAAGATTCGGGCTGCTATTTTTGTAAACGAATAGTGGAATTGAGCGTCACATAATAATGTCCACATGGCTGGAAGGGCGAGCATGTTCGATGATGGTATTTGCGAATCGAGCACGCTAAATATCTAAATACTGTTATGGAATTATGAAAATATTTAATTTTGATTTTGTATATTA